ATATATATCTGCCAATAAAGAAATGAGAAATTAGGCTCCCCATACTGGAGATTAAACCTTAGGCCTTCACACTGAGCTATAGTCCCAGCCCTTTTATGTTTTTTATAGAGATAGGGTATCATTGAGTAGCTAAATTGCTCAGGCTCAGATCTAATTTGTGACCCTCCTGCTTCAGCATCCCAGAGTGCTAGGATTACAGGCGTGTGCCACCAGGTCCATTTGGCAGTTACAGTAGACCCTCAAGTTGTGACCGGCCTGACATATGAACAAGTTGGTTACAACTGGAGTTTTAGTTTGAACTTAGGAACAAAGTCTTGAGTTAAAATCCAAATGCCAGCTGCTTATATTTCCAGATACAGATTTAACCCTGAAAAAGTTCTGGAAGGAGCATTGCAACATGTTTTCCTGTGTTGTGGGGTTGAGAAATCCTGGGCCAGTATCTCTGTAGGACACTGAGATCTGCCTGGAAGATTATGTGGCCTGAAATTATACAGGAGACTGAAGGCAGTTGACCAACTTGAGTTACAACCATCCTCAGGAACAAATTGAGTTTGTAGGTCAAGGGACCACTGTATTTTCTTTCGGTGCAGTTTGATCCAGATAGGAAACCTCTCATTTAAAAAAAAAAAAAAAAAACTACCCTATAAGGATTTTTTTTTTGCATTCTAAAAGTTCCTCATGTATTAATTACTTTTATGTAATCTAAATGTTTATCATCAGGCTGGGGATTTAGCTTGGTGGTTCTGCCACTTGCCTCACAAGCACGAGGACCGGAGTTCGATCCCCGGTACCAAAAATTAAAAATAAAAATAAATGTTTATCATTGTCAAACATGATATTTTAAAGGACGTTTGAGAGAAGGGCAATAATATAACTAAATTTTGAATATAATTAGAGGCAGTTTTCAAAATTAGAAAGCTGAATGAGTTTGGGAAATGAATATCTCAAAAGCCATATTTAATATTTAAAATTAATATCAAAATAATCTACTTGTAATTGGAAAAAATGAAGGGATAAGCCATCATTTACAACAAGATAAACAAATTATTATCTGAGAATGACAGTTCTTTCCACTCCTTTTATTGGGAGCACGTAATGGGCATAGTAATAGAAACAAATTATAAATAATGGGATTGAATGTTTAGTGCCTAGTCCAACTCTAACTTTTCCTTATCTTAGTCCTGTTGTAGCTTATCCAGCAGCCTCTGCTTTTAGCATTAGAATTTCATAATATTTTAAATTATTTGACATTCAAAAAGTTCCACAAATAGTACAATTCTCAAATATTCCTCATCCTGCTTTCTCTAGTGTTATCTTGCACAACTGTTCTACAATTATTAGAATCAGAAAGTTAATGTTGGTACAGTGTTTTTGCCTATACCAAGTGATGGTGAACCCATGGCACACATGCCACAGTGGGCTGTTATCATTGAAAGCTCTTAAAAGTTTGTATCACTGGCTTATACTGTAGGTTGTTTAAATTTAAAGTTATGTGGTTTATTGGTTCTTTTGCGGGGAGGGGATTGAACCCGAGCTCTTGGGTGTTCTATGCAAGATTACTACACTAATCCACGTCCCCAAGGTCCTTGTTTTTATACTATTTCCCTTTTTCTGTTTCAGGATCCTAAACAGGATCCCATGTTCTATTTACGCATTATTTCTCAGTAATCTCAAGTCTAACAGAATTTCAGTCACCTTTTATTTTTCACGACTGTGAAACTTTTGAATGGGTTGATCATTACTTTGTAGCATTTCCGTCAAGTTAGATTTGTCTGATGTTTTTCTCATGGCTGGAATGAAGCAATGCACTTTGGGCAGGATTGCCATGGAAATGATGCTATGTCCTTCATACATCAGATCAAAGGGATATGGTGTTGCTATTTCTTATCATTGGTACTGGTGACCAAGTGGTTAAGGTGCTTTCTGCCAGCTTTCTCTCCTATATAATAATTGCCTTTCCCTTTGTAGTTAATAAAATATCTTGGGAGAGAGGGACTATTAAAATCCCATTTCATCACAGAATTTCACCCATTAGTTTTTTTGTTTTGTTTTGGTACCGCAGATTGAACTCTAGTCCTTGAGCTTGCGAGGCAGACGGCAGAACCACTGAGCTAAATCCCTCACCCATTAGTTTTAATATCCCTCAGTTGATCTTGCTTGCAACAGTTATTACTGTAATATTTTCCTGATGATGATCTCTTTTTTTCCCCATCATTTATTCTACATTAATTAGAATTCATTGTAATTCTGTAAGAAGTACTGTCTTTTCCTCTGGCTTACTTATTTAACTACATCATTATGGATTTAGAAATATTTATCCTACTCTGTGGATTAAAACCCACTACTTTCATTATTCTCACATCCCACCAGCTTTAGGTATGGGAGCCATAGAGGCTGACACTTGTTTTGAGCTTCCTTTGCTTTTTGAGTACTTCCCTTTTGGTGTCACAGATGTTCCAGGTTCATCTTACATGTTCCCTGCCACAGCCCTAGAACTTTGGTTCCTTTTTCACAAAACATGATATTTAAAATTAAGATCTGTCTGTGCTTGTAAGAGTCAGAGCAATATTAAATGATGTATTAGAGCAGTGTCACTTCCTCAAGTCTGCTACCCCAGGGTTAGTCCTTTTTCCTACCACACCCTGCTCCTTTAGTTTCAGGTTTAGGCTGTTTCTTTTACTTTTGCACAAATAGACTTTTTTTTTATATCTCCTTATATGAAGGTTAACATCTTTTGTTCTTCTCATTTATCACTTAATATAGTGTGTTGGAAATCAGTTGGTAGAGTTTTTCTTCATTTTTACTACTGCCCACTATACCATTGTGTGTGGGGGGGTGCTAGATTGAAATTGTGTATATTAGTTTTGAAGATATATCCTCATAGTGAAATGCTAGCAGCAGTGTTGCTGGGTGGAAAGGTAAATGACTATGTCACCTAGCAAGGCAATGCCAAATTTTTTTTCAGAAAGATTGCAGATTCTCCCACCTTAACTGTTATAAGTATGCATCACAATGACCTCAGTGACAGAATATTTGGAATTGAAATTTACCACCTCAAGCAAACAGATCATTTTAGAAATCCCAAGTCTTCTCTAAATTGTTATTTTGATTTTTTTTTAACCATTCATTTCTACTAAAGTAAGTATATAGCAGTCTCTCATGTTTTTAAATTTAGCTAATGATTTTTCTTTGCATTCTAGGTCTTGCTCCACTGGTCTATTTGACAGATGAATACCATAATTTTTTGGCAATAAAGTTTTGGATAGATCTTAATGAAGATATTATTAAACCTAACATGTTAATTGCTGCAAGCAACCTCCAGTGGCGACCAGAATCCAAATTTGGAATTCCTACTTTATTTGCTGTGGATTTTTCCATGTTTTCTGCCAGTCCAAAAGAGGGCCACTTTCAAGAGCAGCTCAACAAAATGAAAAATGTTGTTGAGGTAAAACTGCTTTTCATCATCATGACATATTTTAGTATTTTTCTACATGATTGTCCAATACAAAGAAATGGCATAACTTGGATAGTTGTGGTAGTACATGAGATGAGGTTTCCTCATATATTAATTGCCCAGGGCTGGGCGTGGAGACGCATGCCTGTAATCCCAACACTCAGGAGGCTGAGGCAGGAGGATCACTGTGAGTTCAAGACCAGCCTGGGCTACATAGTTCCAGGGCAGTCTCAACTGTGTAGTGAAACCTTGTCTCAAAAAACAAAAACAAAATTGCCCAGGAAGGGATAAGACAATAAGGGACTGACAGCTACCAGATGGGAAAGAATGACTTGAAGGGGACTGAGTTAAATCAAATTATGGAAAGGGTATTCAGAGATATAGACCATGGAGGAAAACTGGAAATTGAAAACAACAGTACTATAAGTTACCTGTGGTTCACAGCATTTGGCAGTGTGACTAGTTAATAATATGTAAGCTACTAGTTTACATTTACACTGTAGATGTAATATCTTATGCAGTTTATGCCTCTGATTTGAATGAAGATATTCTCAAATAAGAAACACTAAAACTACTTTCCTTGGATCACACATACGCATTTTTCTGTGTATATGTCTGCTTCCCAGGTTTTTAAAGTTTTACAAATACTCTGTTATGAAATTATGCCATTGTTAAGGTGCTGGTATTTGACCAACTAAGGCTCTGTAAAGACCAGTTCCACGTAGTTTAACCTGTATATCATTTGAGTTAATGCTTGAGATAAATGTGAGATGTGTGAGGCAGTTCTTTGATTTTAATGCCCTACAAAGCACCTTGTGGATGTGATGGTCTCCGCTCTTAGACAGTAAATGGAACTAAACATAAGCCCCAGTCTTCCAACTTCAATCAAGTATCATGATACCTTGCTGATTGAACCAGATGGCCAGGGAGGTTTCATGTCTCTTTACTTCCCACATACACACTTCCTCTTTTTTCTCCCTCCTCAGCACCTTCCTCCAACAACTAGGTTCCCCCTAATCATTGGTATTAGTTTTGCATTTTTGCATTGGCATGTTTGACAGTTGCTGTCACCTCTTGGGTGTCTCATTTGTTCTGGTCTGAATGTTTCAGTTCTGTTCTTAAAGGAAATGTTTCCTGAAAACATGTGTTTGCAACTTACAAAACAGGTTTTTCCAACTTATTTTCTTAGAATATTGATACATTTTGCAATGATGCAGAAAAGAAGCTCACACGTTTACTTAATGTAAACGATTCCGAGTGGTCCACCCCATCTAAAGACTGTACGTCAGAACCACACACTGCTCAGACAGTCCTTGGTACAGGAAACAAGTGTCTGGTAAGTTAATATGAATTTAAGAAATATTATGGAGGAAAGTCTAGTAAATAACTAGCAAGCATAGTAAATGTAATAAACTTAATTAGAAAGGGTATTTAATTGATATGTAGCTTCTACAGGTATAGGCTATTTGGAAACTATCTTGTTTTATGAAGCAAGAATGTAAGTCTTTGGGGACACACTTTACAAACGCTTTCACTTTTAGCATTCTAAATACATCTGATTGGAAAAGCCCTTTCTTTTTGCTAGAAGAACTATCCCATTCCACTAGGGTTGATTCTAAATTTAGCTTTACTCATTAAATTACAGGGAATGCAAATCAAACTAAAGTCTTTGATAGTAGCTAAATAGCTAACACTTGGTAAGTGCAGCTGTAACTCTTTAATCCTCACTATGGCCCTATGAGATGAAAGCTGTTATTACCATGAGGTATAAAGAGGTTAAACAATTACCTTGCCAGGTGTGGTGATCCACCTCTGTAATCCCAGCACTTGGAAGACTGAGGCAGGAGGATTGCCATGAGATAGAGGCTAGGCTGGGCTACATAGGTCCCTGTCTCAAAAAAAAAAAATTACCTAAGGTCACAAAGCTAAAAAAGTAGGTATGTTTTAAGATAGTTTTATTTATTTATTTAATTTTTTGGTACCAGGGATCAAACTTGGGCCCTTGCTTAAGATGGTTTTAAAAATGCCTCTTTTTTTTGTTTTATTTTGTTTTTTGAGACAGGGTCTCACTATGTAGTTGAGATTGATCTGGAACTCACTATGTAGCCCAGGCTGGTCTCGAACTCACAGTGATCCTCCTGTCACAGCCTCCCAAGTACTGGGATTACAAGCGTGTGCTACCATGCCCGGCTTAAAATGCCTCTTTTCATTTGGTCTGTTAGTGATTTTTTAAAAAAGATTAAAGCATAAGTTATGTCTGCAACTTTTGTCTTTGTGTTACTCTTCATTATCTTATCATTTTTTTTACGTAAAATTATTTCCTTCTGAAACAGTACTTTTAGTGAAAAGTTAATTTGATATTGTTTTCTTACACTAGTATATAATTGTAATAGGTTGCTTTTTACTTTATTAGATGTCTTCTAGTAGTGAGATAAATTGTCAGAGTCCTTTATCACTTTGTTCGCCAAAAGGGAAGTCTGGATCTATACCAGTATCAGCCAAAAAAACTTCAAAGTCTTCTGAAGAAGAGAAAGCAATGACTGACCCAAAAAACTGCAATAAAAGAAGAGCCCTGGATTTCCTGAGTCGTGTGCCTTTACCTCCCCCTATGAGTCCCATTTGCACATTTGTTTCCCCAGCTGCACAGAAGGCATTTCAGCCACCAAGGATTTGTGGCACCAAGTATGAAATACCTATAAAGAAAGAAGAATTGAATTTTCCTCAGATGACTCCACTTAAAAAAGCCAATGAAGTTTCTCTTTTGGAAAGCAATTCAATAGCTGATGAAGAACTTGCAATGATAAATACCCAAGCCCTTCTGAATAGCTCTGCAGGAGAAAATCAACATCTATCTATCAGTGAATCTACCAGGACTGCTCTTTCCAGTTCAGAAGATTATCTTGGACAGAAAACTCATTATACTATGTCTCTCGTCAAAGGACAAGAGAATTCACAAGCCAGCACAGAAGAATGTAAGAGCAACATGCAGGAAACAAGTAGGATAAAGAATATATCTAAGAGATTGCAAAGGCAACAGAAGCATAAATAGCAATAGTTACTCTTAACCTTTCCAGTCTGTAGTACAGTTTCAAACTGCTTATCAGTATTTACATAACAAGAAAAAGCATGGCTAAGTTTCACAGTTTATATTTGCATATCACAAATGTTCTTTGCTTGATTCTGTTTTCAGTTGTACATCTTAAAATTGTACATTAAAAAATCTCATTTAAATATTTCATTGAATTTGATCACAACACATATTTATAAATAAACATCCTTTTAGATTGTGTCACTGGCTAATTGAAATAAAGTTTCTAAGTATAGCTCTTTGACTCAGATAATTCTATTGAATTCCAATTTTAGGAGTTTTTTAGAAGTAACTTACTATGAAAGTTGTCTTAAATACATGTGTTGGTTTTTGCTATAGTTCCACCCTGTTCAAAAATCAAAATGAATAAAGATATTATAGTGAGGTTATAATTAATTTTTAAAAGCAAACTAGTTATCCAGACTGAAACTTGAAACTCTTGCTTTCAAATTGGTTTTGATACACCTGGTAGAATGTGGTGCCTGTTAAACCTATTACCAAATCAAAAGTAACATTGGTTACTGTCTTATGTTTATACTAAAGCTCTAGTGGGAGCTACATAATAGCATGAAGACGCTCTTAAACCAGGTGTTTTAATATATCTTAAATGTATGTACATACTCTGATTTCTCTTTGGATCATATAAATCTTTCACCTTTTAAATGTATGTGTAATATCATGTATTCAAATCTAATTATAAACATTTCAAATCCAAGAATAAGTCTTTTTTTTTTTTTTCCTGAGACAGTCACACTGTGTACTTCAGGCTGACCTTGAACATAGCCCAGGCTGGCCTCAGCCTCCTGAGTGCTGGTATTACAAGAACGTGCTACCAATCCTGACTAGAAAAATAAATCCTTTTCTTCTTTTTCTTTTTTTGTTGTTTTTTGTTTTTGAGACAGGGTCTCACTACGTAGATGAGACTGACCTGGAACTCACTATGTAGCCTCGGCTGGCCTCGAACTCACAGCGATCCTCCTGCCTTAGCCTCCTGAGTGCTGGGATTACAGGCGTGCGCCACCACGCCCGGCTGGCTAACATCCTTTTAAAAGTCAATTTGTGAAGCTTGGCATGGCCGTACATACCTGTAATTCTAGCACTATGGGAAGCTGAGGCAGGAGGATTACAAATTCAAGCCCAGACTACCCACCTTAGTGATCTGGTGAGACCCTATCTCTAAATCAAGAATAAAAAAGCTGGAGATTATAGCTCAGTGCAGAGACCCTGGGTTCAATCCCTAGCACCAATTAAAAATAATAACTTGGGCTGGGGATTTACTTCAGTGGTTCATATGCCTGCCTCACAAGCCACAAGGTCCCAAGTTCGATCCCTAATACCAGAAAAAATAAAAATAAAAATCTTAACTTGTGAGCTGGTGTTGTAACTTAGAGTATCTGGGTTCCATCCCCAGGACCACAAAAAGTTCCTTTGCTTAACCGTGATCCATGATTGATCTCTCTTCTAAAAAATCATTAATGTAATAGTCAATTCTGATATTAAGTGTTCTGCTAGTCTTTTTGCAACTTATGTTTTGTTCATAAAACACTATGGCCTTCTCATCCTAATCATTCTCCCAGTGTTCCACTCTAGAAGAGGGAGCAAAACAAGTCTCACATGAACAGGAATTCTGTTTTTAAGGATTCAACCATAAACATCCTTACCTCCTCTCTTCTCATTCAGACCACCCATTGTAGAGGTATCTAAGGTATACATTCCTTTTTATGAATTACAACAACATCCAAGCTACATGAACAAAGTGTAAAGCCTGAGTATATATGTACATTGCCATCCTAGAAGTGACAATACTTCCAAAGTTGTCAATGTATACTGCATGACAGGAATAAGTGGTAAGTTTGTGTTATGTATTCAACAGTCAATAAGAGCGTATTGTGTTTACAGAGTACTTGTCAGCTCTATGAATAATGCAAATAGTAACACGAAGTAATGCAAGTCAATGTTAGGTGTTCAAAAGATGATGCAAATGGGAGTTGAAAAGTAGGATAAAGTTGGTGTCATTTAGCTACCAAACCCAAGTATTTCAGAAGTCATCTAGAGAAAGAAGAGACATAAATAGGCTAGGAAACTCAGAACTCTAGAGAAGCTCTGGATCTGTGGCCCAGAACCACTTTGTGATGGTTCCCTCAGCCCATGTGAACCAAAAGCCCAGAGAACCAGCCAGACAAAACCACGGGTACTTGAATCTGGCCCTTTGAACTACTCCTGTGGACGTGAGGGACTCATTAGCACTTCCCTCTACTAATCTAGATAAAGCCATTCTTTTTGAGTTGGTTCTGCAGTAACCATGTATTGACTAAAATACACAGAATTAATTACCTAGGTCTGGAAAGTAGGAGTACTATTAAGTGGATTGTTACTATAAAATTACTGTGTGCTGTACTTAAACACAATTTTAAAAACTATAACAGCAGCTTAGGTTCATTAAAATGTGTTTTATGTCTGTTAGCCAAGCTTTATTATTCAACAGATATAAATGCTAATAAAATAATTCATTGCTGGTAGTCATCAAGATGTTGAGTAGATTTCCACAATGTTAATGGAATGTTAAGTCTTTTGTTTGTTTTTAGGTTTTTTTGCTTTCTTTGTGGTTTTGTTTGTTTTTTTGTTTGTTTTTTTGAGGCAGCGTCTTGCTCTGTTAGCCTAGACTGGCCTCAAACTCAGTGATCTTTCTGCCTCAGCCTCCCAAGTGCTGGGATTACAGCCACCATGCCAGGCTAAAATAGTCTTTCTAATGTGCACAGATGTATATAGGCAAGAAAATATCAAGTTGCTTTTGTCTTTACCTTTATGCCTCCTATAAGACTCATAACTAAGCTTATGATATAGAAAAATAGATTATCATATGATTGAATTCATTGGGATTTAGATAAATTTATTGAACCAAAAAAATTCAATGACAAATCCATACAAATGCAATGCCAATATACAATTTGTAATAACCATAAAAGCACCATTATTAAGACACTTAAAATAATTCACAGAACATTAGAAGCTGTTGGCCAACAATACATAGAGCATACATCCTATGGTCTTGTCCATCATGGTCTTATACCAAATTAATCTGAAGTGCTGGGATTTAATTTGGATATAAGAGACATTCCAAAGTTAAGGTAGAAGTTTATTGTCTCAAATGATGCCATGTAAAACATCCAGACTGCTCATCTTTCGGTGATCTATATACATACTCATGTGATCTATATCCTGGGCTGCCTAATTCCTTGCACTCCCAAATATTTTGGGTGCCAAGTAATTACATTTATAGACATAATTTTAGAAATTGCTTAATTGTTTCTCAAAATTGATGTTTTATGAAGGCAGGTTAATTTTATTTACACAATAAGACAACAGACAAAAGTTAGGTTTAATTCTGTTGAATAAAGTAGTTAAACACAAAGCATTACAAATAATGACACTGATTTTCCTGAGTCACTTGTTTAGTGATCAAGGTTCCACAGACATCTTAAGGGTAATAGATCATCAAAATAAAGGAGTAACTTCCCAAAGTGTCCACTTTGAAGAATAATATTCCTTTATATGTAAACTTTCTAGCCTATTTTAAAGGAAAATCAGTATCATTAACCACATGTCTCACGTGTTTGGATACATATTATCAAGTAGCAGTGGCACTAAAAACATTTTCTGCCTCTTGTTTCTCCCCTACCTCTCTCGCTTCTGGTAGAGATGAAGCTTTTGAAAGATAATTAATAAAATGGCACTGAAACACATATAATATAGTTTTGTGTATGAACCTCAATGACTGTTTATGTTCATGGATTTCAGTTTCAAATTAATTCTTCCTCTAGAGAAAGACTTTAATCAAATCTCAGAATGCCCAGCATCAGACCATGCACACAGGTGCACTTTAACAAGTTCTTGTCGATGATAATGAATATAGTAACCTCTGCTCAGAAACTTTGGGGTTTAACTATTTACACTGGAATCAGAGCTCTGCTAAAACTAAACAAACAATAAATACCAAAAATTGAAGTAAAAACTTATTTAGGAAAATTCTGAATGGCTGTAAGATAGGCCTCTAATATCCATGGTGACAACCACCCCTTCTGCTAAAGGAGCTCTCGTTTGTGAAGCTACCATGAGCCCTCCGGTGTGGAAACTCTGCATAACAATTCCAGTATCCTGCACCACTGGAAGGTGATGCATTATTCCTGTCCTGGTTTCTGTTCATTCTGCTTGGTTTTTCTGCATGAAGTACACTGTGAAAGGTAACATTATGTTCATACCGTTCTTTCATTCGGTGTATTTTTTCTCTTGGGACTCCATGAACGTTTCTTCTACATGGAAAAAAATAAACAGTTAAGGCAGAAATATCAAAGTGCTTTACTTTTTGTATTACATAAATATCACACTATCTTCAGGACATAACTAGCAAAAGTATATCTTGCTATTCCATTATCTTTCAGGCTCTATTCCTGTTTTTCATGTTTCCCTGCTTGCCTTCCATACCTTGAGGCTAGCTTCAAAAATGCTTTGCTTCTGGTAATCTCAGTTATGTGCTTCAAAACACAAACAGCATGAGATTTTTTAAAAATCACATATTTGATTGTTAATAACATGCATATATCTCTCATCAATTCAGGACTATGTCAGTCCCTGAGACTGCTATGAGATGCTTATTAAAAGGATCTTAAATTCTAGCAGACACAAGTATTACCTGAGAATATAGTTAGAAATATATTTACCAAAGATTCTAACTATACAATGTAGTCCATAAACTCTAGGATTTAACAACCACCTGAGGCAATTCTGATGGTTTGATCCACAGACCCTCTTTGAAAACACTATCTGCTTATAGTCATAAGATGAACTACTCTTTACTCCTAAAAGGTCTCACTGATTAAGTCATTGACATTAACATCAGATACTATCAGAATTAATGCACTCAAAACCAAGTTAGTATTATTTGGACATTTATTGCTTTATAAATTAGCATCTAAACCATAAACCACATACTGTTCAACATCTAAAGGTCTTTATTTAGTCTAGATGCAAAAACACCATTGACATGTGCGATCCCATGCAGAGGAAAGTGCTTTTAGATGTTAATGAAGAAGCAATTTAGCAGAATGTTACATGTGTCCTTTTAAAGGATCAAGTTCAAGCTGAGATTTAGCATTTAGCATTATATTAGAAAACTGACCCAAAACTAAAGTCTTCACATTAATAATTTCAAAGTTATCAATTTCCAAGAATTACCATTTCTGGCCTGAAAACTACCAGTCCATTTCCAGCCTGAAAAGATTCTTTTGTTCGGTCTGAAATACCTGAAAACAGCAGGATACATAATGAGGAACTAGAAAAACAAAGAAGTACCTTGCTAACTCTTGAACGTTGAATTTCCAGCGAGTGTCAGGTTCTCGGAATATAACTTCATAGTTATTTTCAAGTGCCTGATTTTTCAAAAGTACATAAAACATTGAAGACATAGTATGTATGTTTGGGTATGTTTATGCTGCCATTTAACATTTATTACAAAGCTTTCCTAAAATTCCTTTTGTTTTACTGGTAATCCAATGCCTTAATTTATCTTAATGCAGTCAGTTCTTTCCCATACTTAGCCACTCTCAGATTATAATTCACAATGTTAAGTTTTGGTCAGTTTTATCCAGCATGTAGAAGTTGAACGTCTTTAAAAGTAGATTACTGAACTATTTAAAATATCCCAAACAACAAACTCACTGAGTTCTCAAAGTCATTTGTATGCTCACCGTAGATTTACTTCTGTCAAATGCCTTGTTCTAGTTCTCAAGCCTTGGTTTTGGAAGTGAGAGTGCCACAGAAACAGTTTATGAAGTAAAAGTGATTTCCCTATGTTTTATATAATTATCCCTCCAGAAGTAGTTCTACCTGCTTCTACTCAAAAGTCTGACTCAAAGCACTGCACCTCGTTTCCTGGAGTTTAGAAAACAATTATAGTCCCCATACAAATATCTAAATGTTCTTTGCATCCATAAATTGAATCCTGCTTTATTTCAGACTGAACTTTTTGTTATTACTGTTGTTTACTGTGTTGAAAAATACAGAATGAAAAGAGCTAAGTAGAAAGATTTTCTCATAAATAGGATGAGTAAGTTCTGGTGTATTATTACACAGAAGGATGATTATAGTACACATTGTATCAAAGAATTATAACCACTATCAAAATAACTAGAGGATTTTGAATGTTCTCATCACAAAGAAATGACAAATATTTGAGGTGATGAATAATCATAATATCCTGAATTGATCATTGCTCATTGGATACATGTACTAAAACTTACTATTTATCAATTAATACATCTTTTAAGAATGTTATTTCCTCTTTATTCTTTGGATAATTATGGAAGGATTCAACTACTATATCATGAAAACATCTTTTTGAGTCTTAATAGCTGCAAGTGGCTGAAAAAACTGTATATATCCAGAGAATGAAAAGTAATATGCCTTCCCAAAGCCACTCTCAATCCCTAAGTCTTGTTTTGAGATGTGCGTGAATTCATTTAACTCTTCATGGTCCTTTTCATTTCTCTCCCACATGACCTCTTGATCATGAACCGAAATAAACACAAAGTTGATGCTTATTCTTTCTTACATTCATCCCAGTCCCAGTCTGGGTCTAAGTACTGTAAAACTGACAAAAGTATTGTTAAAGAAAAGCACACCTGTAGGTATGCTATTCTTGCCCAAAATGTAAAAAGCCTAAATAGAGACTGCTGTGAGTCCAGGGACGCTTTACAGTTACCAAGGGGATTCCTTGTGACATAAGTAGAAGCTGTCTGCTTCCTGTCCTACTTTGTATGGTGGTGGGTGTTTTCTCCTTTACCCAATAGAGAATGAAAAGTTATTAGCATGAGACAAAATATGTCTGGGAAAAAAAGACCCCTGAAAAAAGGCACCTAAAGTCTTACCTGTCCTGGGTCCCATTTCCTTGGCGAGCTGAGTTATATAAATATTCTTATGCTACTGCCTTAATAGGGTTACAGTGATAATCCTAAAATTATTTTTAAATCAAAATACTCTGTTGCCCTGGAACTCCCAGATGACAATAGTACACAGTGCTGTGATCCCGAGTCCCAAAAGCAGTCCTATTATAACCTGTCATGGTCGTGTATCACTTAGTCCAATATTTCCCTGCAAGTTTCAGCGAAACTCCTCTGTATGGAAAGTAATCAAGACTGGAAAGCTGTTAGGAATTCAGACCCAAGACTGTTCACCAAGGAGAATTTAAAAATTGTGCCCCGAGGTGAGATTAGCATCTCAGCAAATTTCAGCCACTACACAGCAGAGAAACCTGCTTTACCTGCTCCTTTCAAGAACCACTGTTAATAAATATGAAGTCATGGAAGACCAGAAAAAGAGAAAAGAACATATGTTTCAACTTTCTCACAAAATGCCCATAACTGAAAATTCAGAATGATACTTCTTCCTACCATGACAGCATAGGGCTTCATTTCCCAGGCGTGGAGGTTGGTATTATCAATAATAATGGGGGATATGCCATTCCTCATTGCTTTTCTTGCTGCAACACAATTTACATAACAGTGAACAACATGCAATAGTCAGAGAAGGGTGAGCGTCATCCATATTTTGTCATTTTTATTACAAAGTGTCATTACACAATTTTAAAATGCCACCTATTTTGGAACCCATTACAGTAATTTTTTTCCGTAGAATCTAAAGAGGTTATGCTATGGCATTCTGCTTGGGGGAAGAGTGGTAGAACTTTTGATTAAGCTCGTTTCCATAAAAGTTACACATTCTGAAGCAGATAAAATCTGTGTGCACAACAGGGCTTCCCAGGATTTTGGGAATGAATTCATCACCTCTTTTCTGGTTCCATTCATGAGCTTCCTCCAAGAAGTCAGGATTGAACTCATAGGCACCATCTTCCCTGGCGAAAAAATCATCTGTGCTGAAAATCATGGCCATGGGAAAGTCATGCTGCAATTGTCTGGAAAGTGGAGAAATGAAAGATGGATTTTAAAAATTACATGTACAGTCATGGTAGAAACAGTTTTCTTTCATCTAACATTTAGCAGTTTATAATTCTGAGACCACCAGGTTTTGAGTTGTTAAGCTTCAATTTTAAAAAAGAAATGCTGTTAAGGAGCAATGCCTTCCAGAGATTATCTCTGGAAGGCATTGCTCCTTAACAGGCAGCAGAGGGCTGAGAAGTGGCTATGTGTGTCGCCAATCCTCAAACAGAGGCTGCTGGGCAGTGCTATTACCTTCTGTAGCAACCAGGACTGACTGCAGATAAAACTCTGAGGCGAAGTTGAGGGTGTCATGACTATCTTTCCTGCCTGACACCCCATGACCATTCCTCTCCAAGATACAGTGCCTACTGGAAACCTACCATTGGGTACCATACCCTATGCTGGAGACCTCGCTTGGCCCCTAAACCCTTACCTGGGTCCCATTTCCTTGGACCTCTGTTCTTTGTAAAGACCCATCTGAGAAACTAGTTCTTGCTGAGGTAGGAAATGTGGACAGAGATGATGTGTGATGTGTGTGAAACATACTTTACATTTTAACAATAACAGATCAAATGGAAAAAGCAAAAGAGAAGGAAAGAGGTGAACCCAATATTCCTCATACCTTTCTACCACAGGGAAAGGAAAAACCACGTAGTACCTCCTTTAAAGCAACAAAGCAAATCACAAGAGAGTAGTAAGTCTGTACAAAAAAAGACTTCAAAGACAAGGGGACCCCCAAAAATAAGATGTGTTGTATACATGTACCACTCCCCACAATGAATATAATCCTTATATACTGTAAACATGTATTATAATAAATTTTTTCAAGAGAAGACTTTTTCTATTTGAAACCCTTAGAGTTGCTATGCCTCCTTTCCTCAGCTGTAAAAGGCGGTGCCAATGAATGATAACAGAGGCGATCCCAGCACAGCACCAGACACTGGCACAGCTAGTGTATGCTCTTGCTCTTGGTCACTACCGCACTCACCAGCATCGTTCCAGCTTCTAATCAGATCCAACTGGCAATGGAAAATATATAGACACACGGCCAGGGTCAGCATAGGAAGATATTTACAAGTTAGAAGGGACAAAAAGGTTGGAGAATGACGAAGTCAAGAAATGCAAAGAGAAAGCACAGAGGTTTAACTCCCTTCCCTCCCTACTTTGTTCTCTATCAAAAAAAAAAAAAAAAAAAAAAAAGATCCTAATCCAGAAGGAAGATGGTGCTGCAGTTAACAAGTGAGCAACTGAGTTTTTCAGCTAGAGCTGGGTTCAGTTCTTGCCTCTTTCACTATCTAGTCATGTGACCTTCTCTCTAAACTTGTTTTCCTTACTAAAGCAGATAACAACCCCTACCTACTAAACAGAGCTTTTGCTAAGACTCAGATGAGTAAAGGTATAGGAAACATAAGGGTAAGGCACTTTACAAATATAAACTACTGTTATTTTGTTCGCAGGAACACCGAAGCCAGTCACCAACCCATACAATTTATGTACCACAGTAATAAAGAATACAAGAGTCTGTATGTGAAGGAATCTTTAGAGCAATGCATTGGACTTGAGAGATGAGAGAACAAAACAAATGTCTTGATTTTAAAACATGAATGAATTCACATTCCAGAAACAGTAATCAAACGTTTCTGCCGAAATCTTTCAGAAGGCATGAAAGGCAGCATGAAGAGTTGGAAAAGTATCTAAATCAAATGCATGTGTTTTTAAGTGGGCTATGGTTATACACAGGGAAAACCAATGGACATGGTATCTTGATTTAAATAAACCTAGTAGTCTATCTTGATAGCCTTATGAGAAGATGTAGGTCATAAGATAATATATTCTGTTACCTGAAGTCTTTTAGTTAATTAGCCAACCTATTAAACATTTATTGAGCACTTAATATATCCCAAGTTACTATGTGAAGTGTTAAGACACAGAAATAAAATACTGTAGATGCTTTAAACAATTCACAGCCTAGCCAAGAAGCCAGACCCCCAACAGTGGAGAAAGCTATGTGGGTAAAGCACTTAGAGAATTTCAGGTCAGGAAAAGGTTCTGATGAGGAAAGACTGCAAAGGAGTTAACCCTGAACTGGACCTTGAAGGTTGGGAATTTTCGTCTCTTGTGGGACGAATGAGGTCAGAGAAGGAAGAGGCTAATGTTTTTTTGGCTTGTTAAGAGTGACACTTGAGGGGAAAACAGAAACAAAGTCATTAAGGGTTAAAAGTGGCAAAACTATTTGTGAAACATTGGTTTCAGTTCTGGGTGCCACAAATTTAAAGTGAAATGTGGCAAGATGGAAGAAGTCCACAGAAGAGTGACCAGTTAAATATAGGGACCACAAAACATGAAGTCATGTGAGAGGAACAAAGATTATGAAAGAAATGTGAGATATTTTTAAGGTGAAAACAAATAATAAAAATGATTCCTGATAGGGCTGGGGATTTAACTCAGTGGTTCCGCCACCTGCCTCACAAGTGCAAGGTCCCAGGTTCAATCCCCAGTACAAAAAAAAAAAAAAAAAAAAAAAAAAGATCCCTGATAGCTGCTCTCAATGTTGAGAAGTCTGTGTAACAGAGAGAATGAACTGTCTTGGAGTCAGTTTGGCTGAAGCCACCTGGGAAGTTCTGCTGGTCTTGCCTGGAGTCAATTATGCATCTATAGTCATTTGACAAATTAAGGGAGACAGAAGGGTTTAGATAGGCCTCCTGACACCTCAGGTGTTGCTGACCCAGGACAAGAGTGCGTGAGTGGATGCTGCTAGGTTCCCACCACATTACGTTGGTCACAGTGAAGCCACTTTCCTGGCCTATGCTGAAGGGATAGTAAAACAGTTTCTACTTCTTGATCAAAGTGGAGCAAAGAAAATGTGGCAACTTTTAATGGGCCACAGATATAAAATATAATATGTAAGAAAGGACAAGTAAAAAGACTGAATGAAAAGAGAGGCCCATAGTTTCCATGATAAATGTCTATTATTTGACCTTAAAGACACTGAAACTGAAAAGTCCAACTCATAAATCTATACTTTAACCTCCAATACAAGCAATTATTATAAAGATACCTTAGAAAAAAATTTAAGGATAGTTAGGAGATGCAATTTCCGATACATATATTTTACTGGGCTTTTTTTCTCCAAGTATGTACATTTTATATTTGTGAACACTGTAAAGTTTTTAAATACAATAGTATTTAATCTAAACAATGAAAGCTACAGTCAGAGGTGAAATAAGAGTGTGTAACTTTATTTTCCTATCTTACATGTAATAAACAATGATGGAAACTGATTCTAAGATTTATTTTTCTTTTTGGTCCATATTTGATATTTCTTCTAAATCTGGTTTCATTTGTTTTTCTATTAAGTCCACCACTCATAGGTTTGCTTTATTTGTTAAACATTTTCAGAGTTGAATTGTTCTTTTCATATACATATCTTTATCTACTCTTGTTTCCCTCTTTATGGTTTACACTATAGATTAGAAGTTAATACTCTCTCTGGTTCCCTTAAAAAGACTTTAGAGCACAAACAGGTATCCAATCATATTTTGTTTTATTTCAATGCTACTCCTGTCTAGAAAACAAAAACAAAACGCAAAACTGCTGTCCTTTTTTATTATACATTTTACCTTAGGATAAAAGTTAAATTATTTAGGACCACTCTGTGTTAAGACCACTCTCTCATCCCTTGCTAAGATAGACCTGACTATAGGCTCCACAGTCTCCTAACAAACAGTCAGGCAAAAATATGAGTGCTTTTTCTCCTTTATGGCTCTAATGTATTTCTTTCTTTCTTTTTTTTTTTTT